TGGTGGGATCTGACTGTGCTTGCAGAGATCTGTCGGATTCGGCAATAAAACTTCGAAGGTTGGATTCTTTTTTTTGGGGTGTGCCGGGAGGGGGGCGGGGGGGGAGAGGGGGGGGGGTCGAAGGGAGTTGAAGCAGCAACAAAAAATATATATAAATATTAAATGGCTATAACTAACGGAGGAGGAGAAGAAGAAGAGGAGGAGGAGGAGGAGGAAGAAGAAGAAGAAGATGATGAAGAAGAGGGAGGAGAAAATGAGGAGGAGGAGGTGGAAGAAGAAAATGACGAAGAAGAGGGGAGAGAAGAAGAGGAGGAGGAGGAAGAAGAAGAAGAAGAACGCAAGGAAGATGAAGCAGCTTTGGGAAAAAAATAACAAATTAAGGGCTATGGCTAACGGAGGAGGAAGAAGAAGAAGAAGATGATGATGAAGAAGAAGGGGAGGAGGAGGAGAAAGAAGAAGGAGGAGGAGGAGGAGGAGGAGGAGGAGGAGGAAGAAGAAGAAGAAGAAGAAGATGACGAAGAAGAGGAGGAGGAGGAGGAGGAAGAAGAAAATGACGACGAAGAGGGGAGAGACGAAGAGGAGGAGGAGGAAGAAGAAGAAGAAGAAGAAAAAGAAGAAGAAGAAGAAGAAGAAGAAGAAGAAGAAGAAGAAGAAGAAGAACGCAAAGGAGTTGAAGCAGCAACGAAAAAAAAAAAAAAAAACAATTACACGGCTATGGCTAACGGAGGAGGAGGAGCAGAAGAGGAGGAGGAGGAGGAAGAAGAAGAAGAAGAAGATGCCGAAGAAGAGGGAGGAGAAGAGGAGGAGGAGGAGGAGGAGGAAGAAGAAGAAGAAGAACGCAAGCTGATGGCTAAGAGGAGGAGGACTAGAAGAGGAGGAGGAGGAGGTGGAAGAAGAAGAAGAAGAAGAAGAAGAAGAAGAAGAAGAAGAAGAAGAAGAAGAAGAAAACATACCTGGGGGCGTGATGGAGTGGCTCGTCGGCGGGGGGCGCGATGGCACGGCTGGCTGGTGGAGGCGACGATGGCGCTGCTGCACCCCGCGGAGACCTACCGACGATGGCGCAGCTGCACCGAGTGATGGTGCGACTGGCTGGCGGTGGCGACAATGGCACGGCTGGCTGTCGGAGGCTACGACGGAGTGGCTGCACAGAGTGGAGGTGAGCGGGGTTGAATGCGTGACGCGTTTTCCCCCGCGCGATTCCGTTTCCGACCCGAACTGATTCAAAACAGTGGCCGATCTTTGCCGCTGATCTGCGACGATCGGCGGCCAAGATTGGCCACTTTTTAGACTTCAAAAATCCGGGCCTACAGGACCCGGTAACAAAATTGCGGGGCAGGGCCCGCCCCCACGAGGCCTCCGTAATACATAAGCGCCGCCAAAAAAAAAAATTCAGGCCCCAGCGAAAATGCGCTGGGGTCGACCGGGAGGGAACCGGCCTGGGCAACCGGCTTGTCCAACCGGGAGGACCGCGGATGGGGTAGGGGTCCCCGGTCCATCCGGGGACCAGCACTGATATAATGATAATCAATTTAAAGTAGTTTCATTTAAGTACGTGTAAAGAAAGTCCCTTTTTTTTTTTTTTTTTTGTCAAAAAATGCCTCCACCGGTGTTAGTGGTGCTGATAGGAGCAGACACCACTAACACCTGGGGAGAGGCTCCATCTATTGGTGGGGAGCATCAACTGCTGGAAAACAGGTCCAGTGTCCCATATACAGAAAATGAGAATGACTGAGAACAGTGAGACCAGTAACTGTGGGGTCTGCCAGCATTGATTGCCCTGCGACCCAGATCTATACCTCTTCACCCCCAAAAGAAGGGCGCCAGATAAAGCAGTTAAGGGCTGGTACTAGGGGATTTGAATAGGTAAATCAATAATTTGTCCGTGAGGATCAGACATTAATCCACGCATTCCCACTAGTTGATGTACTTGAGAAAAATTCCTCTTGCGGGTATCGACGTCGTGGTTAAACGGATGCTAAAAGGAGCGCCCCTTGCAGGTCCTCCGAGGTGAGGATGAGATCGATCCTGGATCTTGAGCTCTGGACCTAATTGCAGTCAGATACATTTAGGAAAGTGCTAGTGTGAGTAGGCCCTGCAAGCAAAGGCATCAAGTCATCATATAGCCTTAACCTCCAATAAAGATCAAGTGGAAAAGTTATACATAGCCCCCTTGGCAAAACCTTCGTATTTGCTATCCCCCGGAGGAGGCAAAAAGTGTGTGAGGCCCTAACTCAGGAGTTGAGAGAGAATTTAAGAACAAAGTGCAGTAAGAGACAAAGCTCAAACGATTTCAAACCGACCATTGGGAAGTATTCCATTCAAAGTTCGAACTCACACATAATAGCAGCACTTCTTTGTTTTTTCTTTTTTGATCGAAGCAAGTGGTGAAATCATAGGCATGAAAGGGGCCTTTTGTACTCTGTACCTGCATGAGGGACTCGATCGCACGATCTTTTGCCACCGCAATAGTTATTCCAAGAGGCTTAAAGCTGGCCTGTTAGAATCAAAAGACAAAGACTCCAGGTGAGTAGAAAAAGAAAAGCACCTGGCCCATATCGCTGAATGGTACCCTCATGTTACTTTTGATAAACAGGAAAGAAAAGGACCTGGCCCATATGGCTGAATGGTACACCCCTGTTACTGTTGATAAACAGGTCACTAGTTCAAACTTCAAATTCTGACGGAATCATGTCAATATTTAAACCATAATGTTAGTGGCTAAACCCTTTTTGAAAAAAAGAATAATAGATTGGAGCATCTCTCCTGTAAAAAAAAAAAAAAA